TGAGGCCTCTGGGTCCTGTGCCACCTCCACCCACACCCCCCACACTTTCTTCCCTCACTGGGTTACTGTGACAGGATCCGCCAGCCTGGAAACTCCTCTTGGAAAGTTGCTATGGAAACCCCCTGCGGGGATGCTCCGTGGGCTGCAGTGTGACTCCGCCCTGGCTGATGCTGGCGGCACCAGGAGCTCTCAGCCAAGCCCCCCTGCCTCTCCCAGGAGACGTGTGCCACCCCAGAGACCGAGGAGAAAGCCACCTGCCCCTGTCTGTGTGACGCTAGCATCGAAGCGAAAGAGGGTCTTTCATGAAGTGCTCATGAAGCTGGGCCCGGGGTGGCCACCGGCCGTCCGTCCAGGGTGTCAGCGATGCCTCCTGGCCAAAGGTGGGCGGAGCCCAGCTGTGGCTCAGTGGGTGAACATCGACCCATGAACCAGGAGGGTGGGCGGAGCCCAGCTCGCCCATGGAGCGCCACCAGGCCACACTCTCTCCAGAGCAGGCTGGCGTGCAGGTGGGAGGAGCCCGCCCCCAGCTGGGTTTTGGATGATATCCTCCCACCTCTTGCATCCCCTCAAAGCCTCCTGGTTCTAGCCCAGCCAGTGTGGCTCAGTGGGTGAACATCGACCCATGAACCAGGAGGTCTCGGTTGGATTCCTGGTCAGGGCACATGCTGGTTGCAGGCCTAATCCCCAGTAGGGGGCGTGGAGGAGGCAGCCGGTCAATGAGTCTCATCATTGATGTTTCTATCTCTCTCTCCCTCTCCCTTCCTCTCTGAAATCAATAAAAATGTATTTTAAAAAAAAATCTCTAATTGGCCACAGCCAGGAGCCCTGCAGAGGGAGGGACGCAGAGGTATCCTCTGAACACGCAGCTCCACAGCGGGTTTCGAACCAGCAGCCACGAGGCCACCCATGAGAGTGTCACTGTCAGGGTGGGCAGGGCCCGTGGCTGCCAGCCGGGCACTCGGGGCACCGGGTCCCACAGTGGACAGAGGACTGGATTTTCACAGCGTCGCCCGTGCAGCGTTCTCTTTTCCTACAGCCCTTGACATACCAGGCGCACCGGTTAATAATGCGGGTTTTTCCCATCGATGGAGTTACACACATGTTGATAGATATGCGATTTGATACGTGTGCTATTTGTTGTATTGCTCCTTCAGATGGCCACTTGTTCTGATCGACGGCACACGCACTTTCTGAGCAGCACTTCACAACGTACGAAGACGTGGAAAATTAGGTCTCTGAATGGTCTGCCTCAAAACAAGAAAAGTTCTATTGAGACGGTCTCCACAACTTCCCTGAAAGATGGGGAAATGTGTGGCTAGCGATGGACATTACTTGGAATAAAGCACTTTTGATGTTTCTCTGGAAATTATCGTGTTTTCTTTGATTACAAAATCCGAATTTTTAACCGGTTGACAGTTAATCCGCATTATTAACCGGGACACCTAGTCAGTCCTGCTGAAGGGAGGGTTTCACGGAGGAGAAGTGACAGATGTGTCCTGTTCTCCGTAAGATGACGAAGAGCCCACAAATGTTCCCGAGAAGCATGAGCTGGGGGATGTCAGAGACTCGGAGACATGGGAGACCGAGAGCAAGTGAGCTTCTGAAATGCCATTTATCCGGACACACACCGAGTAACCCCCGTGGGTGAGGTGTTGGGCCGGGGAGGGCCAGGCCTAGAGATGTTAGTAAGAGCTAGTCCCCTGTTCCATGGGCAATACAGTGTAGTTAGGGGACTGAGAGACAAGCAAATATAATACACGGCAGAAATGGTAAGAAATACTAAAAGGCAAGTGTAAGCTATTTAATTCTCTTCTTAAAGGGAATTAAAAAGACCAAATAGAATATCCAATAATTGTTTTACAGTTACATAAAGGTGCACTATATGCATAAGGGAAATGCCAGAAGGGCAAGAAAGAGAAAAACCACACAAAACATTTGAGGTCATGACTGCCACGTCCAAAATTAAACTCAGAAGACAAAGCCACAGACCCAGGGAGGCCAAAGAACACCAAAAAAGTAAATAACTACCAAAAAATCCATCCCTCGGCATATTGTTTTCAAACTGCAGGAAATTGAACAATAGAGATCATCTTGAAAAGACATCCAAAAGAAAAACCAACGACTTACTTATAGAGGAGCAAAGGTACGAATCACATTAGACATCGCTTCAGGAACCATGAGAGCAAGAAGAAAGTGGAGTAAACACTGAACATGTTGAAAGAGAAATCGTCAACCAAGAATTCTGTACCCAGTGAAATTATCCTTCAAAAAAAGGGAGGGAGGGGGAATAAAGACTTTCTCAAACAAGGAATTTATAGACCTGCCTTTAAAAAGTGTTGAAAGAAAGTCCTTAGAGAGAAGGAAATATTATCGGTGAGAAATTCTGAACCACAGTAAGAAAGGAAGCACATTAGAGGTGGAATAAATGAGGTAAAATAACTACTGGCTCCTTTCCTAGGAGCTAGCACTGGGCCTGGCTAGCCATCTTCATGGCATCTTTGCTTCCTCGTTCAATGATATCTGTGCTTTATCTGCTCTTTTTATTTTTTATTTTTTTAATATTTTATTGATTTTTTACAGAGAGGAAGGGAGAAGGATAGAAAGTTAGAAACATCGATGAGAGAGATTCAATGATATCTGTGCTTTATCTGCTTTCTCCTTCTTCCCTTGGGATTACGCTCTTTTTATTTTTTTAATATTTTATTGATTTTTTACAGAGAGGAAGGGAGAAGGATAGAGAGTTACAAACATCGATGAGAGAGAAACATCAATCGGCTGCCTCCTGCACACCCCCTACTGGGGATGTGCCCGCAATCAAGGTACATGCCCTTGACCGGAATCGAACCTGGGACCCTTCAGTCCGCAGGCCGACGCTCTATCCAGTGAGCCAAACCAGTTAGGGCTACGCTCTTTTTAAATATATTTTTATTGATTTCAGAGAGGAAGGGAGAGGGATGAGAGATAGAAACATCAATGATGAGAGAGAATCATGGATTGGCCGCCTCCTGCACGCCCCCTATTGGGGATCGAGCCCGCAACCTGGGCATGTGCCCTGACCGGGAACCACGCCATGACCTCCTGGTTCATGGGTCGACGCTCAACCAGTGAGCCACACTGGCCGGGCATACAGGACTTTTTACATTTCAGGTGTGTCTGTCAGCTTCCGGTAAACATACTTGGCATCTATTTTTAGATCTCATCAGCTTAATGAAAGGAACGCTGAATGCTTCACCACCAATTACCAAGCTCAAGATAAATGCATGCATTTATTCACTCTGGATAGTGATGATTAAGAGGGGGTTCATCTCACCGTAGCCTAGCAGACATTTGAAATATAAATGAACTGAGTGCAATAAAGAATACCCCCTCCCCAGCCCAGCCTGAGGAAAATGCTACTCCAGGTAGGGCTCGCTCGTCCTGTTAGCGTGAAATCGCTCCTCTGTTCCTTCCCGTGCATTGTGGGGATGAGATAAAGCACAAGCCAGACAGATGCCACTCAAAGAAGGGGCCTGGCCCAGACGGCGTGGCTCCGTGGTTGAGCATCGAGCTATGAACCAGGAGGTCACTGGTTCAATTCCCGGTCAGGGCACATGCCCCGGTTGCGGGTTCGATCCCCCGTAGGGGGCGTGCAGGAGGCGGCCAGTCCATGATTCTCATCATTGGTATTTCTATCTCTCCCTCTTGCTTCCTCTCTGAAATAAATAAAAAATATATGTTGTTTTTTTAAAAAGATATGTGGGTGTAATTACTGGTAAATGCTTTTTTCTTCTTTTGTTTTATGACTGTATTATAAAATATTTTATGACCAAAATATCAATTTTCAATGCTTACACAAATATAGGGTATCCCCCAAAAATGTGTATACACATTTTGAATAATTATAAAGGCAGTGTTTATGAAAATGCATTTCCTTTTCAAAATTGGGCTATCAGCTGTTAAAGTGTATATACATGTTTTGGGACACCCTGTATATGTATTTGTTAAATAGTATTTATTTATGAATTAAATAAGTTAATACTTTTTAATCACTTTTTAAAATTGATTTTAAAGAGAGGAAGGGAGAGAGAGAGAGAGAGAAAGAGAGAGAGAGAGAGAGAATCATGGATGTGAGAGAAAAACATCGATCAGTTGCCTCCTGCACACATCCTGACCAGGGCTAGGGATCGTACCCGCAATGTAGGTATGTGCCCTGACCAGGAATGGAATCCGCAAGCTTTCTTTCTTCTTTTCCTTTCTCTCTTTCTTTCTTTTCTTTTTTTTCCCCCATAGGACAATGCTCCATCAACTGAGCCACCCAGCCAGGGCTATAATTATTTTTTTTAAGTCACAGTCCCCACTTCAATTCTGCATTCATTTTACAATATTGTCCCTCATTGATGCCTCCATTAAAATAATGTGCTTTATATTTCCTACCATGGAACAGATTTTTATCGCCATCCAGTAGCCGCAAGGCTTACTAGTAGACAGAGGTTATATTAAAAGGAGGGCAGGGAGGATTTAAAAGTATTTGCCAAAGCAAACACGTTCTGTGCTCAACAACTGTTTCTTACTCAGCTCTTCGTCTTCCAGGTGCCAGGTACCGTCCTAGGAACCGGAAATACCACAGTGAGCCAACCCGACCCGCTGCAGCTCTGGTGGGATTCATAGGCCGGAGGGCTCAGCTGATAATGAAAGAAGCAAGAGAAGCATATGTGTCCGTGGAAGAAAAGAACCTGACACGGCAGGGAGAGAGGCAGGTGTTTGACTTCAGGTAGGATGTTCAGAGAAGACGTTTCTGGAAAGATGTTTAAGCAGAGACTCGAAATCGTGCGAGAACAAGCCATGCAGGTTGCCCTCTGAGTGCACTCTGAGCATTCGGAACAGCAAGTGCCGATGCCCCATGCGAATGCTAGGGATGGCCTGGAGACGAGAAGAACAGGGCCCCGGCGAACGAATCTGGGAGGATTGGGGGTTAGGGTCATGAAGGCGGCATGGGCTGGGGTCATGATGGTGGTGGCGGCATGGACTGGGGTCATGATGGTGATGGTGGTGGTGGCATGGACTAGAGTCATGATGGTGGTGGTGGTGGCATGGGCTAGGGTCATGGTGGTGGTGATGGTGGCATGGACTAGAGTCATGGTGGTGGTGGTGGTGGCATGGGCTAGGGTCATGGTGGTGGTGGGTGGTGGCGGCATGGACTGGGGTCATGATGGTGATGGTGGTGGTGGCATGGACATGGGCTGGGATGGTGGTGGTGGTGGCATGGGCTAGGGTCATGGTGGTGGTGGTTACGGCATGGGCTAGGGCCGTGGTCGGCAAACTGCGGCTCGCGAGCCACATACGGCTCTTTGGCCCCTTGAGTGTGGCTCTTCCTAAGCCTTAGGAGTACCCTAATTAAGTTAATAACAATGTACCTACCTATATAGTTTAAGTTTAAAAAATTTGGCTCTCAAAAGAAATTTCAATCGTTGTACTGTTGATATTTGGCTCTGTTGACTGAGTTTGCCGACCACTGGGCTAGGATCATGGTGGTGGCATGGATACGTATTGTAGCAGGACAGTAATGAAAAGGAATCAGATTTGAATATGCTTTGAAAGTTGAGCCCTCAGGAATATACAAAACTTTCATGCAAACAGTTTGTAGAATAACTACCCGTATCATCCCAAACTGGAAGCCATCCAAATAACCTTCAATGAGTGAATAAACAAAGTGTGATGTGGCCCAGCTGGCGTGGCTCAGTGGTTGAGCGTAGACATACGAACCAGGAGGTCACCATGCGATACCCAGTCAGAGCACATAGCCAGGTTGTGGGCTCGATCCCCAGTAGGGGGCGTGCAGGAGGCAGCCAATCGATGATTCTCGCACATCATTGGTGCTTCTATCTTTCCCTCTCCCTTCCTCTCTGAAATCAATAAAAACATATTTTAAAGTCAAATAAAGTACATTTTATTAAACACACTGGTATATAACGCTTAAAAACCTTGCAAATGTCCTCAGCTTGGAGGAGTAAAATAAGGATTGTCAAGAAGTACGTGAGGGTGGTATTATCTGCAATATTATTGCAAAGGGGGCGTGGTTACACCCAGGGGAAGATGTGCGTGTGGGCAGAGAGCTGTGGGCAGTCGGTGGCATCAGCCAGGGAAACCACCCGAAGCGGTGGCGCGAGAAGTTTTAAGAGGGAAGCGAGAAAGGGGCGAAGGTCGGAGAGGCGGCTGGAGAGGCAGAAGGGCCAACTCTGGATGAGATGTGATGCGTCGGCCCAGAGCGGGGCTGGGAAACGGAGCCGAGACGGGATGGGTGGGAGAGAGTTTGGGATGCGTAGGAAGGAAGGGGGACGCAAACGGTGCCAGGCAGCAGAGGGCAAAGGCAGGCTGTCCAGGCAGCGTTATCTGTCGCCCCGCCGGCAGGTGCCCGGGGGCATCGGGAAGGGCG